GTCAGCATGGACGAGATTTTTAGAGGTTTTCTACTGTGAAGAAAAGGGCAGCTCGAATGACTCGCCAGGCGCAAATGGAGTTTGCGCCAGAGGATCCCAACGGCTGGGAGAGATAGACGCTGAAGCCGTCCGAATTAAGCGGGGTTTGAGTTTTATCCCGTCCGACCCGATAGTACGACGCTTACTGTCGATGATTTTTGGCAGAAGCGTTTGCGGCCAAACGGGAACTTTGGACCCGCCGACACTTACGGGCTGCAACAGACAACGATGTGGCTAAATCGCACTTAGCGGGAGTGAGACGCAGACGCGAGGGCATATCGAGACTGAACACTCGAAAAAATATTCGTTTGTTGCTGCGTGTCTGGAGCTGCTTGCCAGCTGTTCGACAGTTTCGAGATCGGTTTCCCCGTTCAAGGAAGCCGTTTCGGGGACGATTAAACGGTGCTCAAGGTGCCACCCCGACAATTTTGGAGTGTAGTGCAGTCCACCGGGACACGCGAAAAGAGACTGCCCAGCGGCTAAGCGGGGGTTGAAGAACGTCGTGGGGAGCAGATAATAGCCGGTGCAACCGATCTATGGCCCTACTTCGCCCGAACCTCACCATCCCCACCGATTACTGGTTCCGACTCATGCAGTCAACCTGATTCGGATGAATAACGGGGTGAACACAAGCCTACTCTGCGCTGGTTAAAGCACCTTGTTTTGGCACCCGTTCGACACCTGTACAGAAAAGACAAAAAAGGGGAGTTGCGGCACTGTTCTGCTCCGACAAAAGCGGGTTGGGTGAACGGCACGCAAAAAAACTGGGGCGCCGCAGGACAACAATGGTGCAGTTTACAGGTTTCTTTTGACCCGGGCGTCTACACGAGGTGACGGCGCCGCGGCGAAGCGGGACCCTGAAGCTGAGAAATTTTATGACTTGTTGCGACCCAAAGAGGTCGCGTCGACCACCCCCGATCCATCATTTCTAGGAAGACTGCATTGTGGGTCTAGCCGACCAGGTCGACCCGACCGTGTCTGGTTGGGTCTGCACGAATCGGGTCGACGAGGTTGGGTCGACCAGGTCGACCAGACCCAAGCTGACAGGTTTGCGACAAGTTACTTAAGCTAGCGAGTCGTATTCCTCTCGCAAAAAAATCGCCTTGAGATCGTGTACAAATATCAGATCTAGCGAGGCAAAGCTTCAGCGTAACCATGCGTTCAGCGAGTTTTGGAAACTCGTCATGAGCTCGCCTAGCTTGTAGGGAAGCCGGATAGCAATTTTGCTGTGTATGTGCTTCGAGGGTGTATCAAAATTTCTTAGAAATTCCTCGACGAACCGAGCCGCGATGCACGGGTCAACCAGCTCGACCCAACCCAAACCAACCTTTTTGGGTCGCAATGTCAGAATATATTTGTTGTCTAGCCTGCAGTGGGGTACTCTGTAATGAGTACAACCCAATTTAGGGCATTGTACTTGTATCCCAACTCTTGCTAGTGAAACCCCTTCTCTTTCAAAAATCTCTCGATACTTTCCTAACTCTCTCGAACTCGATCACCTAGGCACCTACACTATGGCTTCTAAGCCTACCCTTGCTTAAGATTCTAATATGGTATTAGAGCTTAACGCTCCTGGCCTGTGGGCCCACTCGATTCCGCTGCCCTATTGTGTGTCGTGCGCCCCGTGGCGCGCGACCACCTATTTTTCTTCCCGCCACGCGCTCGGGGCGCGTGGCGGTTTTCTGCCCGCCGTGCGCCCCGAGGCGCGCGGCGGGTACCTACCTCGTCGCGGCGTCCTGGGAGCCCGCGCGCTGGCCCCAACCGTCGCCTCGTCGCGGCGTTTTGGGGGCCCGCACGCAGGTCCCTCCCGTCGCCTCGTCGCGGCACTTTCGGGGCTCGCGAGCCGGCCCCTCCCGCTTCCTCGTCGCGGCGCCTTAGGGGCCTGCGCGCGGTCCCCTCTCACTGCCCGTCGAGGCACTTTCGGGGGCCACGCCCTTCCCCTCCCCTTCGTCCTACTTTCCGCTGCAGCAGCCCCTGAAACGGCCACCCCAGCAGCAGCCCCTGGAGCCGCCCCAACAGCAGCAGCTCGTGACACGGCCACCCCAGCAGCAGCAGCTCGTGGAGCAGCCGCCCCAGCAGCAGCAGCCCCGGGTGCAGCCGCCCCAGCAGCAGCAGCCCAGGGAGCAGCCGCCCCAGCCGCAGCCCCTGGAGGAGCCACCGCAGCAGCAGCAGCCCCAGGAGCAGCAGCCCCTGGAGCAGCAGCAGCAGCGGCAGCCCTGGGAGCAGCCGCCCCAGCAGCAGCCCCTGGAGCCGCCCCAACAGCAGCAGCTTGTGGAGCAGCCGCCCCAGCAGCAGCAGCCCCGGGAGCAGCCGCCTCAGCAGCTGCAGCCCCTGAAACGGCCACCCCAGCAGCAGCCCCTGGAGCCGCCCCAACAGCAGCAGCTCGTGACGCGGCCACCCCAGCAGCAGCAGCTCGTGGAGCAGCCGCCCCAGCAGCAGCAGCCCCGGGTGCAGCCGCCCCAGCAGCAGCAGCCCAGGGAGCACCCGCCCCAGCCGCAGCCCCTGGAGGAGCCACCGCAGCAGCAGCAGCCCCGGGAGCAGCAGCCCCTGGAGCAGCAGCAGCAGCGGCAGCCCTGGGAGCAGCCGCCCCAGCAGCAGCCCCTGGAGCCGCCCCAGCAGCAGCAGCCCCGGGAGCAGCTGCCCCAGCAGCAGCAGCCCTGGGACCAGCCGCCCCAGCCGCAGCCACTGGAGCAGCCGCCCCGGCAGCAGCCGCCTCTGGGGCGGCCACCCAAGCTGCAGCAGCCCCTGGAGCAGCAGCAGCCGCCCCAGCAGCAGCCCCTGGAGGAGCCACCGCAGCAGCAGCAGCAGCTCCCGGAGCAGCCGCCCCAGCATCAGCCCTTGGAGCCGCCCCAGCAGCAGCCCCTGGAGCATCAGCCCCAGCAGCAGCAGTCACTGGAGCAGCCGCACCAACAGCAGCCGCCCCTGGCCCCTGCAGCAGTCGCTCATGGACCAGGTGCAGCCGTGGGGGGTGAGTGTGGGGGTGCTCGTTGTGGGGGTGTCGGTTGTGCGTGCCGTCCCCTCCTCCTCCTCCTCCTTCGTCTCCCACTGCTACAGCTCTCGCTGAGGGGGGTGGTTGTGTGGGAGTCTTGGGTTTAGGGTTTAAGGGGGGTGGGTGGGAGTTGAGCTAGTGGTATAGCAGCGGGTGTGTGTCGGGGGGGGTGGGACTGTGTGCGGGAGGTTGAGCGGAGGTTGCCAGTTTGTCGTCCGCAGCACCTGTAGTCCGGGGCGCTGTCCCGGTAGCCCAGTGAGCTTGTCGCTGCGCCAGTCGCCTGTGGGTCCGTTGCCCGTCTGCCGCTACTTGAGCCGCGGGGCCTGTTACTCCTGTAGTCCGGGCGCTTAGTCCGGTAGCCACTGTGCTCGCCACTCCTGTTGCCCGTGTGTCTGCAGCTTCAGCCGCCGCCTTCTATCTCCTCTCCTCTCACTCTCCCTCCTCCTCCTCACTTGCCCGTTGTGACCACCACTAGCTTTGCTGATAATTGTGCATTTTAAATATTGCTTCTTGAACTTGTGCTCAGAATGTGTGGTGACATTGTGATCCACCCTGAGCTTGTACTGCTTTGCCTGCTCTGCTGATTACACCCCACTTTGGCTATGGGGGTGTGTCAGAATATATTTGCTGTCTAGCCTGCAGTGGGGTACTCTGTAATGAGTACAACCCAATTTAGGGCATTGTACTTGTATCCCAACTCTTGCTAGTGAAACCCCTTCTCTTTCAAAAATCTCTCGATACTTTCCTAACTCTCTCGAACTCGATCACCTAGGCACCTACACTATGGCTTCTAAGCCTACCCTTGCTTAAGATTCTAATACGCAACACGTCGTTAGTGGTGCGACGGAAACGGTGGGCTGCAAAACGGTTGAGCGATAGTTCCTTTGAATTTAAGGGTCCCCAACCCCGATAGTTTTTGCCCCTCCACCGTAGCCAGGTTCACGCGGGCAGCACGGACTATACCCCATCCGACAAAAGCGGACGCTGGGTGAACGGCGGGAAGCGGAATTGTCGGGGGGTGAAACGACAAAAACATATTGGAGCTGTGGTTTCTTCGCTTCTTGGAGTGGGGTTGAGTCGTTGGGGGACTTCGCCTGAAGGGCACTTGTCGAAGTTGCCTGGCAAGAAGCACAACGGCAGGGATACCTAGGACCCCCGGTGTTTAAATGTACACCTCGGGAAATTCTTAAAAAAAGGGGAGCATGGGAGCATTCGTAGCTTCGGGGACTTCTCAATGGGAGAAACATGATATTTTGTTAAGCAGCAACGGTTGGAGCAGTTTTGACTACGGAAGTCAACGGCGTTGATGCCGCTAGGATCCGTGAAAGTCGGTCTCGGAATAACCCAGGGCTAGTCCCCGATTCCATATGCCCCCAGATGGGTTATGGTGAACTGACGGAAACTACTGGTGACCAGGTGGGCGGCTATAGCACGACCGAAGATTTCGGAGGCGAACTGCACCTGTAACTGCGGATTTACGGGGCTGTTTTTGACCTACAAGTTCGGAGTTTATACGTGGGGACTAACAGTTTTTACGGCGGGAAGGGGCGACAATTTCGGAGGCGTATTCGGCGTTTGGATAAATGCGCGTGACAATGACGTGGACAGCACCGTGAGATTTACACGGAGTTTTCAAGGGGTACGACAAACTAACGACGAACTGAAGCAGGCAGCAGCAACAGTGGAAGGGGGGAGAGACAGCTGCAAATTTCTCATCTCTGCCCAGGAGCACTCGGCGCATTGCGACAAATTTCTCGGCGAGTTTGGACAAATTTTCCGGTGAAGCTGACGTCATCTGACACCAAGAACGGGTTCAGCGTTTCCGAATGAAGAGATTTCCAACAGGTTACTTCTGCAACGAACGTCACCGATTTCTTATTCGAAATCGCCACCAATCGTTTTCACTTTCGACATTTTTCGCCACACCCCGATTTCACGGCCAGAGGACTTTGGGACGGGACTTCCAACTCAACTAACGACAATCTGCCCAGCTCGGCCGCCCCACGACAACCAATTCGATTCTGCCCACGTCAGGTGCCACCAGCTGCAACTGCTGAAGATATCATATGATTCTGGCGATGTGAGGACAAATAAGTTAAGTTCAAGCAATGCATATTTTCCGTCGCGGTTTCTGGTCTACTTTTGCTGGTTAACCCTCGACAAATTTTGGGGCACGTCACACCTGGTTGCAGCCTCGGAATCGACGCTTCACGCTTTTTGACATGGGACATGGGGACGCAGGGAAGGGGATGGGGGGAAGCATGGAAGGGCGTGGGGGGTAGCAGGGACAGGGACATGGGGGGAAGCAGAGAAGGGACACGGGGGAAGCAGTGACGGGAATGCCAGGGCGATGAGGGGCGAGAGATACGGGGATTGCGAGGGGACGAGCCGGAGGGAGGGCGATGAGCAACAGGGAGCGCGACGAGACAAAGGGGGGCGACGGGCGGAATGGAGGGCGACGGCGGAAGGGATGGTGACGGGCGGAAGGGAGGCGACGGCGGAAGGAACGGCGACGGGCAGAAGGGAAGGTGAGGGCAGAACGCCGTGCGACGGCGGAATTGAGAGCGACGGGCAGAAGGGAAGGTGACGGGCGTAAGGGATGGAGACGGCGGAAATGAGTGCTCTGGGCGGAAGGGAAGGTGACGGCGGAAGGGAGGGCGACGGCGGAAGTGAGTGCGACGGGCGGAAGGGAAGGTGTCGGGCGGAAGGGATGGCGACGGCGGAAGGGAGGGTGACGGGCGTAAGGGATGGCGACGGCGGAAATGAGTGCTCTCGGTGGAAGGGAAGGTGACGGCGGAAGGGAGGGCAACGGCGGAAGTGAGTGCGACGGGCGGAAGGGAAGGTCACGGGGGAAGTGAGTGCGACGGGCGGATTGGCTCTGGTGACGGCGGAAGTGAGTGCGACGGGCGGAAGGGAAGGTGACGGCGGAAGTGAGAGCGACGGACGGAAGGGAAGGTGACGGCGGAGGTGAGTGCGACGAGCGGAAGGGAAGGTGGCGGCAGAAGTGAGTGCGACGAGCGCTAGGGAGAGCGATGGGCAGTAGGGCGACGGCGGGAGGGAGTTTGATGGGCGTAAGAGAGTGGGACGGATGCGTCAAACGTAAGTGTGAGGCTAGGGCCCGTTTCGTGCGCTTGATCCGTGCGCTTCGAACGTAACATGCGAGCTCCATTGACCCTGTAGATTTGGGCGTGACGGGTGACGTGTTTCTTGTTGCTGGCTAATCTTTTTTTCGTAAGTGGAGAAAACCGTCAGACTGCTGCAAGGTTCTAGCCGTCACATGCCCATTGTCTAAAAGCGATATTACGCGCTCATGTGGTCTAGAAAATCGGAGCGCACTAAGTGTCCTAGACTCAATATGGCTGCACGTAAGTACAACTTGGTTTTCAAGTTTACTAAGGGTGAACAGTGGACCAACTCCCAGTGACACTTCACGCGGATGGTTTTTTTTGTCGCTGGCCAATCATGCATCAGAGTTGTGAAGGAAAGCGGCACTTTGGGTGGTGACCTGGTTTTTGGCGAGTTCATATTCAAGAATCTTGAATTTGAAAAATGCCATGTGGAACTCGGGCTTTAACACCTGGTTTTGGTGGGCTTTTCGACATGGGGCCTGGCGCAGCCCGTACGGGCCTCGCGCGGGCCCTACGTGTTGAAATGAGCGAACAGGAATGAATGAACTAGCAGTAAAATGAGTACAAGTAGGAAACCCTAGACTTGTGTACCCCCTATAGGCTAACCCACTGTAGCCTAACCAGATAGAACATGCAATGTTTGACACACCCCCATAGGCAAAGTGGGGGAGAACTAGGGGTCACAAGACCAGTTAAAGCAAAGCAAGGCAAAACAAGCTCAGGGTGGATCTCAAGGATACCACACAAATTCCGAGCACAAGCAAGTGGTCACAAGACCAGTTCACATGCAGGTTTATAATAGAACAAGAGGTACAAAGATCAAAACCTAGCAAGAGTAAACATGCAGGTATATATAGAGATCACAGTACAAACAGAGTCAAGAAGTAAGCAAGTGAGGTCCAGTAGGCACAAGGCCTAGAAGAGTGCAAAAGCGCTGATGGTCACCAAGCGGAAGCGCCTTGGTGAACACATCAGCAGTGTTGGCCTCAGTGGCCACGTAACGCAGACGAAGCTGACCACGCTGCTGCAGCTCTCGAGCAAGGAAGTAGCGTAGGGCAATGTGCTTCGTCCTGTGCTCCAGTCTGTGCTCCTGACACAAGGCAATGGCTGCCTTGTTGTCGACGTACAGCACTGGAGGAGAACGAGGCCGCTCTCCAAGGCTGGTCAGCAAGTAGGTGAGCTAGCGAAGCTCCTAGGCCGCCATGGCTGTGGCGTAGATCTCAGCCTCACAACTGGTGCTGAGAACAGAAGAAGAGCGCGTAGAACGCCAAGAAACTGAGCCAGAGCCAAGACTGAAGGTGTAACCCTGAGACGACCGCTGAGTAGCCTGGTCGTCCGCCCAAGAAGCGTCTGAGTGCCCAGTGAGAACAACTCGGTCTCGCCCTCCAAGCACTAGCCCCATGCCCGACGTACAGCACAAGTAGCGCAACACCCTCTTAGCTGCATCCATGTGCTCCTTCCGGTGACGGCCGGGAGCAACATAGCGTGCAAGGATGCTAAGAGGGTATGCAAGGTCAGGTCGTGTGCAGGTCATCAGGCACATGAGGCAACCCACAAGCTCTAGATATGGGCCACTCGGCTCTACGGACTCATCCGAAGGCAGAGCTGAGAGCGAGTGACCGGTAGGCAGAGGAGTGGGCTGAGGGGAGGAGTACGTGAAGCGGAAGCGCTGAAGGACCTGCTGCACTATGTGTGACTTCTCAGAATAGGTGGAGTGAATTGGATTAACTATGAAACAAAGCAGTTCAAGTACCAACCCTAATTGGGTTGTACCCTTTATGGGCTACCCCACTGTAGCCTACAAAACATGCATCAGCTATAATAATCTGACACACCCCCATAGGCAAAGTGGGGGAGAACAAGGGGTCACAAGACAAGTCAAGCAAAGCAAAGCAAGCTCAGGGTGGATCTCAACGTCACCACACATTCCGAGCACAAGTTCAAGGCCACAAGGCCAGTTCACATGCAGGAGAGCATATATATAACAGTACTAGACAAACAAGAGCAGGTATATATATGCAATAGTACAAGCAAGGAGAAGAGGTAAGCAAGTGAGGCCCACTGGGCACAAGACCCAGAAGAGTGCAGAAGCGCTGATAGTCACAAGGCGAAAGCGCCTTGGTGAACACATCAGCAGTGTTGGCCTCAGTGGCCACGTAACGCAGACGAAGCTGACCACGCTGCTGCAGCTCTCGAGCAAGAAAGTAGCGCAGAGCAATGTGCTTCGTCCTATGCTCCGGTCTGTGCTCCTCACACAAGGCGATGGTTGCCTTGTTGTCGACCTACAGCACTGGAGGAGAACGAGGCTGCTCTCCAAGGTCAGTCAGCAGGTAGGTGAGCAAGCGTAGCTCCTGGGCAGCCATGGCTGTGGCGTAGATCTCAGGCTCACAGCTGGAGCTAAGAACAGAAGAAGAGCGTGTAGAACGCCAAGAGACAGAGCCAGAGCCAAGACTTAAGGTGTAACCCAGAGACAACCGCTTAGTAGCCTGGTCGTCCGCCCAAGAAGCGTCAGAGTGCCCAGTGAGAACAACCCGGTCTCGCCCTCCAAGCACTAGCCACATGCCCGACGTACTGCACAAGTAGCGCAACACCCTCTTAGCTGCATCCATGTGCTCCTTCCGGTGACGGCCGGGAGCGACATAGCGTGCAAGGATGCTAAGAGGGTATGCGAGGTCAGGTCGCGTGCAGGACATCAGGTACATGACGCAGCCCACAAGCTCTGGATACGGGCCACTCGGCTCTACGGACTCATCCGAAGGCACAGCTGAGAGCGAGTGACCTGTAGGCAGAGGAGTGGACTGAGGCGAGGAGTACGTGAAGCCGAAGCGCTGAAGGACCTGCTGCACCATGTGTGACTGAGTCAGGGTGATGGTGCGCCGTGCTCGGTCCCGAGTGATCCACAAGCTAAGATAGCTTGTCAGTTCACCCAGGTCTGTGCACGTGTGTCTCTTCTGCAGCTCGGACTTCACGTGGGCGAGCGGCGCAGTGTCCGTAGTGGCAAAGACCAAATCGTCGACGTACACGAGGATGTAGAACGGCGGCAGTGAGGTGTCGGTGTGTAGAAACAGCGACAGGTGAGCAGTAGAAGGAGCGAACCCAAGAGCCGGAAGTGTAGTCCTCAGTGTATCGTGCCACTCACGAGGCGCCTGGCGGAGACCGTAGACTGGCCGCCGGAGGCTCCACTGGGTACCAAGAGGGAACGACCCAGTGAAGCCAGGAGGGCGGCGCAGCCAGATCTCCTCGTGCAGGCTGCCCTGTAGGAAAGCAGTGCTGAAGTCAAGAGAGTGGAGCTCGTAGTCACGTTGAGCGGCGTTGTGCAGAAGAACCTGAAGAGTGGTCATCTTCGGGGTCGGAGAGAAGGTCTGGAAGAAGTCAACTCCCTGCCACTGACTGAAGCCATGAGCCACGTAGGGCGCCTTGAAGACAGGCGGAGAACCCGGCGGCCGCTTCACCCTGAAAATCCACATGCCACTGACGATGTTCGCCCCAGGTGGGGGAACCTCGTCAACGTAGGTGCCTGTGGACTTCCAGAAAGCCATCTCTGCGTCCATGGCTGACTGCCACTGAGAGGAGTAGAGACCGGCCATCGCCTCTGCGTAAGAGCATGGGGTCGGGATGTCTAGAGCATCCGGGTCTCCCTCAGGGGCAACAAGCATGGACACGAGATGGGGCAAAGCGGCGGCAAAGCACTAAAACTCCTCATGCCTGTCCTCAAGGACGTCCGTGCCAAGAGTACACTCACCCCCGACGGACGGAGGACAGATAGACGCAGACTCAGCAACAAGACTCGCGGCGTAGTCTAGACGCCACGCGGCAGCAAAGCCGACAAGCTCAGCAACTAAGGCAGACGCAGCAGCTGACTCAAAGGAAGGGTCAGTGACAACAGTAGCAAGAAGACGCGTGACAGTAGGACTGGCAGCACGAAGAGAGTCTAACTCCGGGTCGGCAAGAGCAGGAAGAGAAGACTCAGAAGGAGAAGGCAAAGGGGCACGCAGAGGAGCAGTGGATGGACGCAGAGACATCCGATGCGTGCCAGGGACAGAAGGAGGATGCTTACGCGAACCGCGACCACTAGTGCGAGCAGCACGGACACGCGACGCAGGGCGAGACGCAGGCTCACGACGCTCACCAAGACCTCCAGCAGGACCAGTGTAGGGAGACGGAGCGGGTAGTGGGGAGGTGGGCTATAACTGTAACTGTGACAGGACAGGCTGTGGACACTCTAAGGGAGGAGAAGGACCAGTGGAAGACGGGAGACCAAGAACCTGCTCAAGAAGCGGAACGAAGTTCGGCCGAGGCCGCTCGGCGACTCCAGACACAGTAGGGACAGCACCAGCACCCCCAGAGGCAGCATCAGCACCAGTAGCAGCTCCAACTCCAGCACCTCCAGCAGCGCCAGTAGTACCCCTAGCAGGACTGCCTCCAGGACCGACAACCGTAGACTCCGCGCCAGCACCCGCAGCAGCTCCAGCTCCAGAGGCATCCCCAGGCCCAGCAGCTCCAGTAATCCCAGTACGAGCACCTCCGGGACCCGTGGCACTAGCTCCCTCAGCACCCCCAGGCGTAGCACCCCCAGGCTCAACACCCCCACGCTCAGTGCCCCCAGGCGTAGCACCCCCAGGCTCAGCACCCCCAGGCGCAGCACCCCCAGTCTCCGCACCCCCATGCTCAGCACCCCCAGGCCCAGCATCCTCAGCAGCACCAGAGTCACCACTGACCTCGACAGGCTCAACAGCGTCTACCTGGGACACACCTGAAGGGGCAGGACCCTGAGGAGGGAGGGGGTCTACCGGGTGGGGACCTGGGACAAGGAAGAGCGGTGGCAGGGGGAGGGACGGAGTGCGGTAGGGGAAGAGCCGGTAGTAGGGGACCGACTCGTCAAACGTGACGTCCTGGGAGGACAGAACACGACGAGAGGTGGGGTGGTAGAACTGCCACCCTGGTGTGTCAGGGGGGAAACCCAAGAAGACGCAAGGAGCAGCACGAGAGGACAGCTTGTCCGCAGACATGTCGCGGACAAACGCCCGAGATCCCCAGACAC